TTCGATTATATGCGGGCATATATTCCTCGCTTCCCATTGGTCGATTATATGCGGGCATATAATATGTAGTCATGTATTCTTGATTTTTGTCCACTGTGGCCAACCATACACGCACATCCAGGGGCGGATCTAGGGGTGGGGGGAGGGGGTCCGGAGGGTTGTTACCCCCCTTTAATTTCAAAGTGCCCTAAAAAAATTAAAAGATTATTTTCTGCAAAAAAATTGGAATTCCACGATTTCCATCTTGCATTCTAGACATCAAAATTACTGCTCAGATACTTTCAGAATGCACCCATTTTTTTTTTAATTTGTGGGGTGGTCCCCCCCCCTTAAGTGCCTTTGGCAACTTATTAAAACACCAGGAAAATTCGCGCGTGTGTACACTACACACACTTGCACACTCATTTCCAGAGACTGCCACGTCCCATCGTAGTAACCATAGCAATTATCGGAGGAGTGCATGCCAAACCACTATCCAGTGACAAAGATTATATCTAAACTCGTAACAGGTGAACATTACATGGAGGGATCGCACAATGCTATCATTCTTACAGCTCAAATCTTCGAAATAGGCATCTTGAAAAAGCTAACTCGAACTACAACTTACATAAACACAAACACGGATACATAGAATCATGTCTAAAATTTTCCAGAGATACCACATGATCAAAATAAAAATAACAGCACGATCAGGTAAAAATCAAAACGATGACGGTTTAATTTGTGTGCTTACAATGTATTTTTGTTGTTTTTATCTGACGTTTTGTTGTTTGTTTCTGATTGTATTACAACCACTATTTCAGAGTTAACCGTTGCGGCCTTACAAAGCGGACATTTTCTTAGACGCTTTTCTTCAGGGATTTAACCCTCAACCCGTAGATAATTAGGCCGACAAACGATTGGAATATACCAGCATTAGTGAGAACGTATAAAACGTAGACATTAGTACACTAGTGCTTAAGATAACGCCTTATTGATGTTTGTTGTGCTACTGACATCGGCATCAAATAGGGAGTGAACTCAATGACAGAGCAAGGCAAGAGCATCAGTTCGACCCCGTAACACGGACGTACCGGGGAACGTGAAGATGGCTGCCAGTGCGCACTGTGGGCGCTCTAGCTCTGGCATGTACAACTCACAAAAAGGCATTAGCAAAACATCACACGTGGCAGAGTGACAATTATTAGATTAAGGCTATCATCAATATTATACCTAAAATTAATTATTAGGTTCGACAATGTAATTGACACGCGTAGTATCACGCCTAAACATCGCGGACAGGGTAATGACGCGGCTAAGAGCATTATAAATTTCAGCAATTTTTGAGAACGCGAGTTTAATTTACGGCGTGCTAACAATGCAAAGGTTGCAGTTTCTTACAGGTTGAACGCAAAGCTTCGGCTATCGTGCATACATCAAGAGCAACCGTACAATAGCAGCACTGTTGTTGCTGCAGGGATGCAAAGCCCGAGCCGCCATTAGCCCTCGCTGCGAGCCTGCTTCGACCTCGATGAAGAAGACAACTAAGAGGACAGCTAAGAGGAAACTGAAAACACCGACGTTTGGCTCGAACTTCTCATGAACTCAGTAGCTACGAGGCATGCGAAGGATTGTACCCGGGTTAGGGCCAGATTTGGACCCGCGCTAGGCATGCGAAGATATAACTTTAAAAGCCTATTCAAATATTCTGGATTTCTCACCATTTCTACAAAGAGATCTCAACATTATTGAATTTCTTCGTAGGTACTTTTGCTATTTCAATATATGTTTTATCGTCAGTTTGTATAAAATTAAAATTAAAATGGCAATCGACACATAATGAAGGCATCAGCCATATCCCTATTCTCTCACATGTGACTATAGGGTGCCTAATAAAAAGACGTGCCTTTTAAAAAACACCTAATTATAACCTAATCAATACATTTTTATTTTTGATGTTTACAGCTATCTACTTCGGCGCATTATAGACGGATTATAATTAATATATTAATTACTAAATGACATAATTTGCATGAACGTTACCTGAACCTTGTTCCCAGCAGTCAATGATTCTCGATCCTTACGAACTCTTCAACAGCAGAAGCAGCCTTACCATACATGACGAACACGAACAGACCGATTTGGTTTCGATAATAGAGCTCAGGGTGCGCCTTTGTCACTAGTATAATCGTAAAATACGGAAGCCAGCCAACGAAAAATGTCGCAACCACCAAGAACATGGTAATTGCTACTTTTACGTTTTTTTTGAGGCCGCTAGCAATAGTAAGATCAGCTTCTGCTAGTTGCGCACCGATCGCCTGAAGCGCGCTGATCTCTTTCATGTGCCGGCGAGCAACGATGAACAGGGAGCCGTATAGGTAGATCATCAGGCAGAGGGGCACGTAGATCATCACCATGCTACCAGAGAAGAGGCCCATGAACGTGAAGGTGGCCGCTAGCGAGCACATTGGGAATGGCTGCTTTAGCGGGTCAGCTTCCCGTCCGAACAGAATGATCATGACGATTGAGAAGCCTGCGACCATCCACGCGATGACTGCCATCACGCGTGCTCGCCTCTCCGACATCAGATCATAGTAACGCAGCGGATGAATGATCATGATGTACATATCAATGGCGATTCCCAGCATGTTACCTGTCGAACTCATGCATGCGAAGCAGATTAACGCCACATAGTTAAGGCAGTGCTGGCTTATTTTATCACCGACCCGCTGGTTGAGGTTGACTGCTCCATAGTAGAGCATCGTAACGCCAACCAGCATGTCCGAGCCGATGAGACTCTTGATGAGGATGTACTTGATCTCTGGTATTGACTGCGCTCGTGCGATCAGCAGTAACAGTACGATTCCATTTAAGGATATAATGACCAGGCCAATACAAACTCTCGTAGCCGCCACGTACGATGGTTCGGATTTGCCAGACGCCGGTGAGTACGTCTCGTTCAACGATGTGTCGGAGAAGACGCTGAGGTTGCTTGCGTCATCGCCACTGAGGTTAGCATCAATCCAATAGAGACAGCTAATACATGTGGTGACATTGCTGATGTTAGCTGACATAGCTCCGATTCTCACTATATAGATGGTAGCACCGCCTTTCGTCTCTCTTATAACAGGCATTATGGTGGAAAAATTCCCATATGCGGTAATGCATATCAAAACGATTTCCTATATATAACCAAAAGCTTTTTTCGATAAATGGCAAAAACCGCCTTCCGAATTGATGTTGCGAGTGAAAGTAGTGGCATATAGGTTGAGAACTCAAAACATTTTTTTCAAATATTTGTTCTGCAAACAGACAATCCTAGTACGTGCTTGAAATGGCCACTTTTCAATGCGATTTTACGCCAACAAGTCGGCATCGCTGGATGAGGCCGCCGCCCGCTATAGGAGTGCACCCCTCATCCACATCTACACTGCCAACTGCAGCAATAAAGATATACTTATTGAAAAAAATAGTTCTACGTCTTTCTGTCAAGCAATAAAAAAGAAACAGCTGAATGAATAGGTATGAAAGTATCTATATACTTCACCTGTGCCGTGGCTAAGTTTTAATGCGTAATACGTAATAGCTAGTATCCAGTCAATATAATAAATATTATGAGCACTTGATGTAGTATATATGCTATCACTCTCCATCTCTTTCTATCTGTTTTATTATTGTTATTAGTACAGACTTTTATACCCGCAGCGAGCACTCTGTGCTACGCTACACGACTTCATTGTTACTGCAAAGCCAGGCTATACAATGGTCCCAGATCCATCGTATTTGAACAGCCGAAAAAGGGAACAAACTTTTTGCGTCCTGTCTGGAATTGAGATATATAAGCTGTGTCGCTTTTTTATTCGATCTATAAAAATATTTTTGTAATTAGGGAGTGGTTATCAGGCCTGTCGTGTTTACCTCACCTGGATCCCGTGTGCTCATTATAAGAAAGCACCACCTCCTGCTGCCAACGCGCGTCATGTTTCCTTAGTGATCGAAACTGGACGAACACGCCGCTATGCGCTTAACAAACATTGTATATACACAAAAGATATATAATAAGATATTGTTTGTTCACAGTGTTTGTATATAGATGGGATAATAGCATTTCCAATATTTTGGCAGTCGTTTTCAGTACGTGTTCGTTATCACATGAAATACTTGTTACTAAATTAAAATTTAAAGACAGAGTTTATAAATGTTTTATAGTCTGATCGAAATACTATAATACTAATAGCGTAGTAGACTTCAAAATTAAACTAATATATACTACACCCTAGTGCCCTTGTAAACATGTCATTAATTGCACATGCATGTGAATTTATTCTCGAACTATAGACTACTTTTACACTAGTAAGTTGTACATCATTGACTATACCATTCCACACTAATATATATCAAGCAAAATCAATTGTAGTTATCTATTGATTTGTTATACACGCTGTCGACTTGCACTCATATATTAATGCTTACAATTATTTAATAAATATTGCAGTTTGTGCCATTATAATTATATTAACTAACCGAGGAGTGTCTGAAAGTCTTTATAGACAATTCACTCTTCATTGCGCCGCTTCTTTCTCATATTGTAGGTCTGTGTTAGATTCGGTGCGCTTTGTGAGAATCGGTGGGTTATTTGTGATATCAAGCCAATACTTAAATCGAGTACATGTATGATTTATGCATGTGTATGTTTGGATGACAGGGAATCTTCAGATTATTATATTCTTAATAATTTCGTATAGAAGATAGAGAGAGAGAGAGATATTTATAGATAAATAAATTTATTTAGCTGCAGTAAATACACAAATACCCGCATGTACAAGAATAAGTATAGTTTAGGAGATGATATAATTCTCCACCTGTTTATTAATCATTTTACATGCAAGCTTTACTGTGGAGATTCTATGCATATTGAAAGAACCTCTTAACACGTTCTACAATTTCCCCCCATAAACCCTATTTTAACTTTGTCTCATGATGGTGAGCATAATTAACTGTATTTCCTCCAACTGTGCTCGGAATAAACAAAAGCTCCCTCTCTCTTTGCCTCTCTCTTTCTCTCACTGACCCCCCCCCCTAATTCTTTCTCTCTCTCTCTCTCTCTTGTATACGAGTACGAGTGCGTGTGCGTGTACTTGGGTGCGTGTGCGTGTACTTGGGTGTGTGTGCGTGTGCTTGGCTGTGTGCGTGTGCTTGGGTGCGTGTGCTTGGCTGTGTGTGTGTGCGTGTGCGTGTTGGCGCGGTCCATGCGTATGTGGATGTCCGTGGATTGACTACGTAATTAATAAGAGCGCGTAACCCACCTCTACTCACCAACGAAATGAACCAGCAATATGTAATATACCGAATGTATAATAAATATACCGAATATATAATAATATGCCGAATGTCACATACAATCATGTCTAAAATTTTCCAGAGATACCACATGATCAAAATAAAAATAAAAGCACGATCAGGTAAAAATCAAAACGATGACGGTTTAATTTGTATGCTTACAATGTATTTTTGTTGTTTTTATCTGATGTTTTGTTGCTTGTTTCTGATTGTATTACAACCACAATTTCAGAGTTAACCGTTGCGGCCTTACAAAGCAGATATTTTCTTAGACGCCTTTCTTCAAGAATTTAACCCTCAACTCGTACATAATTAGGCCGACAAACGATTGGAATATACCAGCATTAGTGAGAACGTATATAGAACGTAGACATTAGTACACTAGTGCTTAGGATAACGCCTTATTGATGTTTGTTGTGCTACTGACATCGGCATCAAATAGGGAGTGAACTCAATGACAGAGCAAGGCGGGAGCATCAGTTCGACCCCGTAACACGGACGTACTGGGGAACGTGAAGATGGCTGCCAGTGCGCACTGTGGGCGCTCTAGCTCTGGCATGTACAACTCACGAAAAGGCATTAGCAAAACATCACACGTGGCAGAGTGACAATTATTAGATTAAGGCTATCATAAATATTATACCTAAAATCAATTATTAGGTTCGACAGAGTAATTGACACGCGTAGTATCACGCCTAAACGTCACGGACAGGGCCATTGCAATGACGCGGCTAAGAGCATTATAAATTTCAGCGATTTTTGAAAACGTGAGTTTAACTTACGGCGTGCTAACAATGCGAAGGTTGCAGTTAATTACAGGTTGAACGCAAAGCCGTACAATAGCAGCACTGTTGTTGCTGCAGGGATGCAAAGACCGAGCCGCCATTAACCCTCGCTGCGAGCCTGCTTCGACCTCGATGAAGAAGACAACTAAGATGATAGCTAAGAGGAAACTGAAAACACCGACGTTTGGCTCGAACTTCTCATGAACTCAGTAGCTACGAGGCATGCGAAGGATTGTACCCGGGTTAGGGCCAGATTTGGACCCGCGCTAGGCATGCGAAGATATAACTTTAAAAGCCTATTCAAAATATTCTGGATTTCTCACCATTTCTTCAAAGAGATCTCAACATTATTGAATTTTTTCGTAGGTACTTTTGCTATTTCAATATATGTTTTATCGTCAGTTTGTATAGAATTAAAATTAAAATGGCAATCGACACATAATGAAGGCATCAGCCATATCCCCATTCTCTCAAATGTGACTATATAGGGTGCCTAATAAAAGGACGTGCTTTTTTAAAAACACTTAATTTTAGCACCTAATTATAACCTAATCAATACATTTTTATTTTTGATGTCTACTGCTATCTACTTCGGCGCATTATATACGGATTATAATTAATATATTAATTACTAAATGACATAATTTGCATGAACGTCACCTGAACCTTGTTCCCAGCTGTCAATGATTCTCGATCCTTACGAACTCTTCAACAGCAGAAGCAGCCTGAGGAGCGATCTTGCTCACTGTCTGTCATTACCGTCTGATTGCCAGCGACAGATGCGGTTATTTTTATATGAAGGGTGCGACGCCGTCACCTTATACTGTCATGCGGATTAGGGCCCAGTCACACCAGAGCTACGCTCATCACGATCGCCCCGTCCTAAAAAAATTTGCCCGAGCGTGGTGAGCGTGGTTGAGAGCGTGGCCAATTAGAGTTCGAGTTCTTCTACGAGAAAGATGGCATGGAGTAGTGTTGCCGTATCCCTGGTGGGCACTGAACTGGTGGGCTCGCCAGGGTA